AAGACTTATCTTTCTTCTTGTAATTAATTATCCACACATTTTCAATTCCCAGAATTAATTGACATTTAATTGATTCGTTCGTTAATTATCTCTACCTAATTATCCTCCCGGAAATAATTAACAGATTAACAATATTCGACACCGCAGGTGATTAACAAATGTACATTAATTAACTTAAATCTTCCCCGAATAATTAATTGATTGTCATTTTGTTTTCTTTCGAATATCTCGAGACCGAATGCACCGACAAAAAATTCGATAGAAACTTTTTCCTGAATTTTCTTCTCCTCTACAAAAAACTCAAATAAAAAATTTCTCTATCTCCCCTGGCTCCCGAGATATCCTCCAAAAACCGAGGAAAAAAATTTTTTTTAATTGTCATTCGCAGACAGTCTTTTGAGTGGAGGGCGTATCATCGAAGACTGGATTCCAGAATCCTGGAGGTGTTTGATACCTCTCATTGAACTTGGATCTGTGCCTGGAGCACTGGTCCATCCTCTTCTGGAGTTCATCCTCAGTCAAGTTCATGTTCTCGTAATAAACCTGACAATCCCTGCAGCTCCAGCCCTTCAACTTCGCCCTCTCGCTCTTCCCCCTGACGACAGGCCCTTTGTACGCGAACTTGTGAGTCTCCTTGGGTTCAGGCACGAAGTCAAAGCTGTTCATCATCTTCTTGGGAGGTGGACTAGTCCATTTGTCCATGGAGACGTCAGTATCCCAGTCCCCATCGAGATCAATCTCAAATGCTTTATCTTTTTCAATTTTCGATGTTCCCTCGCCCCCAGAGAGTTTCCTCTTGGCTAAATTCCCGTCGAGACCCTCTACCTCACCTCTGGGGAAATAAGTCTCATCCAGGTCGGCCCTGGTCTGACCAATATCCTGAATATTTGCACTGTCCGCGAGATCTGACTTAACCCTCATCCTCTCCCTTTTCTCCTTCTCTTTCCCCGTTCCCAGGATTTTTCCCTCCCTCTTCCCATCCTGGGCGACAGCTTCCTTCTCCATCTGACTCAGGGATGGCTCCAGGTCCTCCACCTCAAAATCCGACAGGACAATCTCATCCACTGGTGCCTGTGGCCTCCTGGAGGTGACCTCTGACCTCTCCACCTTCGATTTCAGTCTCAGTCTTCCTTTTCTCTTGGAGACATCGAAATTCGGACTGCTCTCGATGACATCGACATGATCTGGCTTCTGTGTGAACCTCTCGAACATCGTCTCATCGATCTCCAGGTCCCTGGGGTCAAGCACCCTCAGGGAACTGACGTCTGTCTTCTGATTGAGGGGCTGGAGAACGAGTTTCGTCTGCCTCTCGACTTTTCCTGATGAATTTATCCTCGTCTGGGGATTCTTTTTGCTGAGGGAGAGAATCCTCTGGGTCTGGGAACTCCTCGG